GTTTATGATGATGCACTTAGATACTGGCTATGTTCTTCAAAATAAGTTTTAATAGAAATCTAAGCAGTGATTTTAAAATATAGGCGACAAATATTAGTTCATTTAATTTAGATTTTTTCATTTAATTATTTAAATGGTTTAGTTCTAATCACGGATCACGATTCACAACGGTCTTGCATTTCAAGATTATGAACAACCTTACATGTATGTATCGATCGGTCCTCTATGAGCCCAGTGAGTAGGGTCAAACGTAGTGTGGTTGCCACATTACGGTCTGGATCGAGCTTCTTTATGGTGCCGGGGTCGTGGCTTTTGTTGGTTCATTTTTGAATAATTTTATTTTAAGACAAAGTCGTACAAGCAGGGTTCGTTGATAAATTCATAACGACAAACGCGAATTAAAATAGCATACATTTATTGATAATTTAATCATGTGACATAGGCAACCATGCTAAAAAAATCTTGTAAGTTTCTACTTCTGCCCGGTTATTCTGCTTTTCCTATTCTACCATGACGCTTCAAAGATCATTCTTTTTCGGCTGTTTACTCCCGCTCGACCGATGTCACTTGCATCCCATTGTACGACGTGATTCTTTATTATGCTGTGCACTATAGTCGCTAGCTTGTCTTCTCTGCATTGTTGAGGCGAACCATGCGCTGACTCATCCACTTCTTCAGCCTTGTTCAGCTAGCGGTTGCTGAAATATTACCCTCTTCGCATAAGAGGTTTATCTCGGATACTATCAAGGCATCCTCCTGTTTCTGCATGATGTCTTTTCTCTAAGGGAGGCTGAAAAGCTTACTACCGAGCAAGGGAACTTGTCGAAATAATTTTGCCATTGTTTTAACCGTTTTTTTCGTTCTAGAATGGTGGAAAGCTCCAGAGTTTGTTCCTCGCCTCAACCACATTGACAGTTACGTCGACGGCATCGAACCGACGTGCATACAACCGCAAAATTATGCAATTCCGCCCGTTATTTTTCAACCAGAGCGAATCGGAGGGTGTGACCTGAACCTGGCGACGAACGTGTTTCCCCAAACCTCACCCGTTCCTCCATTTTCGGCTTTTGGCAAGCGTTTTCCGACCACCATTCAGCCAATGAATTGGACCACTCTTCCTTCGCCGTCGGTCATGCCGCTGCCGGCAGTTCACGGCGTCCAGCCGTTGCACGTTTGGCCACAGAAGCACTTACTCCCTCTCAGACCTCTGCCGCCTGCGTTGCTGAACCCTCGCGGCAATGCAAAGTTTCTTCAGCTGAACCAGAAAGGGAGCATTCCGCCCGGATACACGGCAAATTTTACCACCATCAACCGTACGAGCAGGTTTCAGATTGACGTTTGAATTTGTATCGTTTTTTCAGCTGGCATTGGCCCGCCCATACCCGCGATTTTGATCAAGAAGAAGCGCCGAAAGAAGCCAAGGAAAATCAAATCCGAGTCCATCGAGGTAACGATTCGTGTTTCCAAAAGTAGTCGTGCCCTCAACGTATTGTGCTCAAGGAAGAAACTACGTGTAATGTCCAGAAAAACGATGAATCCAAAGGCATACAGGCGAATCCCGTCGTGGTTAACGACAACAGTGAATCGTCGAAAGAAGACTCAGCTTCACCAAAGTACGAAAGCCTGACGGCTTTTATTTTCTCTGTTAGCATATCAAATGTAAACTGACGTTTAAATGCACATATCTGTGTGCGTGATACAATTTTTACCTAAAAACGTCATAAGAATGAAAAAGTTGTTGGTGACACCTGGATATGTTTATCACACCGTTGCAGCCGCGACGAGTTCAGGTGGCTGTTGAATACAGCAGAATAATACAAATAAAATGTTAGTCTTATTATCATCTTCATCTTCCATCGCCGCTTCTCCTTTCGGGTCGCGGAGGCAGACGCGCCAGACAGTGCTTCCA